TAATCCTATTCATTTGTTTCGACAACGTGCCTAAAAATATTCACACCTCTTTATTGTTCAGTGTTAGGATGTCAAACACGCAGTGAAACTGCTTTTGTCTTGTGACAACGTTTGTCAATACTCCTTATGAATACGTCCATGTGTTGCAAGTTTTCGACAATGAGCTGTTCTCACCGAAAAACTGTTAAATTCTTTTTCAATGCTCAGTTTATCTTTCGAAAACAACTAATTTCGTGATTTAAAAAAAGTCATGTCGTTTTCCCATGGAAATCAAAGCCAAAAAATCGCACTACATTATCGGTAAATCGCTTCCGGGTTTCGTTCACCATGAAGATGGTGACCTGTCATTAACATATTTAAATGAACTAAGGTAATTTGAACACGTGGGCACCATCCAGCATTTTGATTGGTTAATTAGCGACTTGACCTGTCCGGTCAAGTAATGTCTCGTGTGCATTCAAACTACATAGCGGAAGTCGTGTCGCATCAGTCGTTTACATGTGACGGAAATAATTCGCTTACGGTGAAACTAAGTTGAATTTTACTTGCATTTGATAACAATTCAACGAATTTATTTTTTGTGCGTTATTATAATCACTACTAAGTAATAATCAACAATTTCAACAGTTCGAAAACAAGTAAGTTATTCACTTGTGAGCCGAAGCATGGCCGAATTGCATTACCGTACACAGGGTACCGTACTTTTTTAGTGCCGTACCATGATCATTTTCTACTAAGCAATGCATTAATGTTTGTTTTTATTTGAAACTCCTGTCAGAATATACTTTCCGTTACGAAGAAAATAAAAAAAAAAATGCATATTACATTAAATATACAGAGTATTGTTTTTTCATGTGAACAGTTTTTTTGTGACGTGAAGCTTATCACTCTTCCCTGACATCTAAATTGGAGTTGATCCCAATTTTGTATTTGATACATTGTAATATAAACCGCGGTTTATAATAGGATTTTAACGGTAATAAGTTGCAAATATGTCTTGAATGCATGCAAATAAAAATTCTTTTATTTTTGATGATAAAGTATAATATTATCTCATTTTATATGTTTAAATCCAGTATTACTGATACAAGTAGTTTCATATTCAGATTGCAACTTACTTCAAATTATGCGACTCCAGTTGGCCACAATGATATAATAGATCTGTTAGGTGAGCTACAAACCACCAATTATTCAAATGAGCACTGCAAGAAATAGACAATGATTTGAAATCTCCGATTCACTATAAATCACTACTATTAACTCAGGATGTATTATGTCTGTACAAAGTGGTGAACGGTGTTCATTGGATTGCATCTGAGCAGTCTCTCAACAACTGGTTGGAGGATGTGGCTCCAACAGCGCATGAAACAATTAGGTGATAGTATATTTTGTAATGTACTCGCTACAATCATGAACATGTACTATTTCAGTAGATCATAATATCGTGGTCATGTGATATGAAAACAGCCAATCATGGATGCATATATGATCAAAAAAAGCCAGTTGTGGACAAATCATTTTTAATTTTTGGATTGAAAACTAGAAGCAATGTCACATTCTGTCTGTTTGGTCCAAAATTAAGATTGAATTCAGTGGAAATTACAGAAAATGTGAACAAATTTACCCAAATTTGAGTGGAAAAAAAATATATCACTCGCAATTTTAGATTTTGGATGAACAAATTAACATTGAAGACAACACTCCTTCTGCTGACAGAACATTTCATCCCTATAATCTGGATTTAGAAGGTTTACAGCTTTGGTTGCGGCTGAACAAACTGGACATCTATTGCTGGTGCCTTACCTGCTTTCTCTGATCACTTGGTGAATATCAAACTCTAATGCAGACAGGAGTATATTATCCAGCGTACTGAGATGACTGTTTCCACCATAGTCATCAATACATTCCTGTGAGGAGATATTATGGTCTGTTAGTTAACATACGTATACATGTATAGTATATTTCTTATCTCTAGAATGCATTGTGATGCTTAACCAGTAAGCTTAAAAGTTGTAATAGGAGATTTTCCATCCACTGCGAGATCTTGCATAATATGTGAAAGGTGCAGACCAAATATCTGCTGCAATAGTCAAATGATACGAGTTCAGCTTCAATTTTTGTTTATAGCTCAATGTCAAATGGCTGATCTTACAGAGCCAAGTATGGCATTGTGATGTTATAACAAAGAAATATGTTACACCATAGACAAACTTATGAAAGAATTTTTAGTTGATGCCAGGGACGTTAGAACAATGTTTCTACACTAATAAGGAGATTGTAATGTTATTTTATTGTAATATTAATTTTGTTATGTTATTTTTCTTGATCTATAACAGTATTTCTTGTACTTATTTTAAGAAATGTATCTTTAATTTTGCAGCTCCTGTAAAAGTGAGCCCCTGCTTTAAAAGGATAGCAACAAATAAATACATACCCTTTTATACTTCAATAAAATTGACCATCATCAAATAAGTATTGCACATTATCAGGCGTGAAAATACCCCAAATACCTTCCTGTTTGTTGAATCACAATGTTATGATCTTTGTTTAACCTGCTTTTAAGTTTGATTTCAAGCACAATGCTGGATCTCGCAGTCAGCAGAAAATTGATTATTGACATACCTGGGCATGATAGTGAATATCAAATGTTTTAATAGTTGGATTATTGTATAAAAGTTTAGCTACTAGCATCTGATACCAGGACTGGGTCAAATCTTTCAACTCAGAGAATACTCTGTTATCACCAGCAAGAATCTAGAAAGTAACAATAATATTCAAGTAAATGACATGCATCAAATGTACCGTAATCAAGATGTAGACTAAATCAATAAACTAATCATAATCCCAAGTAAACTCATAGTTGCTGTCGACATAGGAAGTAAAGTAAGCAAATAACACCGAATAAACGGCAAGGTAAAGACTATGTCTAATTAGACATAGTCTAATTAAGTCTAGGTATGA